GACAGGGACCAGATGTGACATCGGTAAGTTTCAGTCCTTTTTCCAACTCTGAGAGCAAGCATCAACTCAGAGAAGCAAAAAGAAATCTACTTTGGTTTCATATTAAGAGTTATAATGGTTTAGACTCAAAGATGCACTTTAAATTGGAATATGAAGAAATAGAGGAGACTTGAGTATAAAAGCAGTTTTTTGGATTTCAGCCTTTTTCTAACCCCGACAGCATATAATGAAATATTCAACACTGGAATATTTTTTGAGATGAAAAATTACTTTTGATCAACGAATTTCACAAAACATCAGCTCAGAACTGTTAGGAAGACTTTCTCCGTGGACTGCCTGCAAACCTACTTCATATTTCATGGGCACCAAAGAAAAAGGAAAAAGTTGTTTTAAATAATGCATTAAGAGTAAACTGGAAAAAAAAAGTTTTGTTCTTACAGCTCTGAGAGGCAGCTTTGAACTTGTGCACTGTGTTCACCTTTAAACTTCCCCTGTTATGGTTGTTGGACATCTGTGTGACATAATCATGTCATCGTGCATAGATGGTACTCTGACAATGAACTGAAGCTGAAAATGTTGATGGCAATCAGTCTTGACATCTTCAGCTGTTGTATCTACAGGCTGATGCCGAGATGCTGAAGTTAAACTCGAATATTTTCTCTATAAAGTTCCTCGCTGTTCTCTAATAATTGGTGTATTAAATAGAATTCATTATTCGCCGTTTACTGGACTTCCAGGATAATCTTTAAAGCTGAATTTTGACCAAATAAAACCAAAAATTATCCCCAGGGTTGTACTTAAATATTTTAAAATAGATGTACCATTTTTCTAACAAAGTTTTTATAATGATAGGTGTTAGCTTTGGTAATGGCCACTGGCCTGTGTGCATCTCAGGTGTTATTAATCAGTGTTTGATCAACACTTTTCTATCAAGTTTATCCAACAAGGTAAAAAAAAAAAAAAAATCATAAAAGGATGTTATTAATATTGTTGAAAATTAGTTTAAAGCTGCATTGATGAAGCTGCCATGCAGGCTCTTGTTTATTCTTTACTGATCCTGGTTCTGTTTCAGACTGCAGAGGTGACCGTTACGGGCCAGACTGCGCAGAGACCTGCGAGTGTACGAATGGGGCAGAGTGCGACCGTCGCAGCGGCCGCTGCCTCTGCCCTCACGGCTGGATGGGACTCTCCTGTCAGGAAGGTACAGCAGTGACTTCACACACACACACTGGAGGTGAGTCAGTATCAAAGGATGCCTCTTTGCTGACTCGGTGAAATCAGAGTGAATAAGCAGTGTCAAATGCTGACGGTGTTCAGGTACCATCTGTGTGGGGCAGAAGTGCAGACACTGCAGCTAATGTTGCTGTGTTGTTTATTTCTTTCAGTTTGTTTTGATCAGATCTGAGTGTTGGACTCACAGCTCTGCTTCATATGCTGATTTCCCCTCAGGTGGACCCCAACTCCTCAGCTATGGAAGCAGCAGAGGGGACTCTATGCATAACTCATTATAACAGCTCCACAGAGCTGGAAAACTGAAACTGGGACAGACGAACAATGAAATGAAAAAGTCTGACAGGAAGCAGCAGCCTCTGTAGAGACTCTGAAGAGAACTGCAGCTGAAAACAAGGTTGCAACCTGGATCTGTGGGAAAACTGTGACTATATTCCCATAAGCAGAGTGCAGCATCAGGACATTATTTGCAAGACCTCTTGTAAAGTCATTTAATTTAACTTTTTTGCAGGCACTGTATATTAAACCCTCCCAGGAGCAATTCATGCAGATTTTAATAGTGATTAAAAGGCAGCAATTTCCAACAATTGAACCCAAATTATACCATTTTTTTACATTTCACTTTTAACAGCCACAAACTTTCATATATTCACTTATGATTCATGTCAAAGCAACACAAAGTAATGAATTATTGTGAAGTCAAAACAGAATGACTAATGGCTGAAAATCCATTAAAAATGTTTATTTGTATGCCACACCCCTCAGTCAATTGACTATAGATTTTTAGCTGCAGCTGCAAATCTGCTGGGGTTTTTTCTCCACCAGCTTTCTACATGTGTAGACATCTATGAAGATCAATATTTGCATAATATGTTTTTTAAATCAGACCTCAGTCTGTACTATTTTAAAACTGAAAAACCTTGATATAAACTCCATTATAGCTGAAATTTTATGACCGATTTTCCCCTAAAGGTTGACCATAATTTCTCATAGTGTGTTCTCTGTGTAGCCAATCAGATCAGACTTGAGCAGAATTGCATCACCTACATGATCCTCAGATTTTGCTTGCTGAGCTTTGGACCTTTACAGCTCATCCAGTGGCCTCTTGTTTGCTTCTGATTCTTTCCTTGCTGTTTGGCTTTGCATTGATCTGCTCCTTTTTGGATAATGGGTGGAATAGTGCTTTATGCAAAGCCAAATTAATTAAATAAATCCTCATAAATAAGCCCTTGCTGCCTGAATTAACTTAAATAATATGTAAATGTAATATGCAAATGAGAACTATTAAGGGTAACTTTAATGGCAGCAGCGTACCTCAGATATTGTTTGTTGTGTGTTTGGAATATGCAACAATCTGTTTCTATGGATGCATGTGTATGTGGGCTACATTACAAATATATTAGGAGAATTGAAGCCCAGAGTCTTGCAGGGACTAATCTTCTCCATAATTATGTTTGCCATTTACCTCCAGGAAGCAGTTTGTTCTAAAGGTAACCCTCCAAGGCATTCACAGAACGTTGTACTAAATTACACAGGTAGATACTTAGATAAATCATAAAGGCAAATCTGTGCACAGGAGTTTAAGGTTGTCACAGTAAAAAAGAGCCACACTTTTATATTTGATTTATCAAACATGGATGGATGGCTTTAAATACAGTAATTTGTGTTGGCTGCCTACAATAAATGAATCTAATGCAAGTCTTGCACAATGTAAAGGTTATGAGTACATTACCTGTATCTCTGTTGAATGATGGGATATTACACATGCTTAAATGTTGGACAGCTAAGTTATTTTTTTTTTTTGATCTAAGTCACATTAAATGAAGCAACACAATCTAGAAACTGTCCTCAAGTAGATTCTGTGTAAAAATTACTTCATATTTATATTTTGTATGTTTTACAGCTGATTAATGATCAATGACCAAGTTGAGAAATAAAGACAGACACACTTAGTTGGTTTACCATTCTTATCTTTTATCATTAATTCATTTTTTTTCAGTTAAAGATTGAAGCTGTACATCCTGTCTAAGTTTCAGATTCAAGCACAGTGCAGATAGCAACGCCTGCAAAAAAAAGTAAAACTACAAATAAAAAGAGAAAAAGGCAGAGGTGATCACAACCACAAGTATGTACACAAAGGTCAGAGTATGTACAGAAGATGCCAGGCTCCCACTGCGTGGTCTTCAGTGAATTCATCCGAGCATCCCTCAGAACACACACACACACACACGTTTGTTTTGGTCATTCCTTAAACTCCATACAATACTGACAGGATAATGCAGCATGATGGGAAATAAAAATAACAGCTCGTTTAATGTTCTCTATGCCTTTAAAGGCTAAAACATAAAAATATATTCTCTGTATAACCTAAACTCTGTCCTTTTGTTGGATCTTTAACATACCATCGGAACAGGAAACATGATAAAACTAGGAACTCTTAAAGCATTTAATTCCCTGCACAGATTAGGGCATCACACACACCCACACACAGAGGCCTCAAAACATGAAGGTATTCAAGCGATGTGCAGTTACTAGTACCAGCAATGGGACAAGGAGATGCACAGTTCAAAGGAAAATGGACATTTACTGAAACATGTTTATTTTACTTCTGAAAAGAAGACTGACACCCATCCACCTCCAGGTTCTAAACAAGATGCTAAACCGAAGAGTTATTCTTCATTCTCCCTCCTGAGGAAAGTATTTATTTACTTAATTTGTTAATTTTGTTGGTGCTGAGCATCACTGTATCACCAATGAATCAGAGAAAACAAACGAAATTAGGACTTCTCACTTTTTAAAGCAGAAGAGAATGATAAGAACGTTCTCCTTATTCTGATCTACAATGAAACCACTACAACCAGCCAGAACCGGGCTGTCAGGACTGTTAAGTTCATCGTATGGATATTTTTGACCCCCACTAATGTGCAGTAAGAAGCAGAGATACATTTAAAACGTCCTCACAAAGAAAATAGGGAAGTTCTTATAGGCTGCAATTATATAGAAAGGATGTTAATATTTTCTTGATGCTTTTTAAAAACGCACAAACATCCAGTTTGCAGGAAAAAATACAAAGCACACTGTAGTTTTGTTTAGTTTGCTAATGAGTTATTCAATGTGGTTAGTTGGCTCCATCGACCTAAACGGTCAATACTGATCTGTACAAGCCCTTTAATTTCTACTAGTTTGTTTATGAAAATAGTAAATTAAGCTCCTAAAAGCGCCTCACATTGAGACAAACCGCTCTGTAACAATGCTTTAAACATTTCAGTCGGAGTCAGATATGTATTTAAATGACTCCTGCTCTATTCACCCATCTGCCTATTAGTACCACTGGTTTAGAATTTCACATCTAATACTGCTGATGTCAGTCTGGGCAAAATGACTTATAAATGAGACAACAGTTCCTGATGAAACATCTAGAAAGGTTTTAGCTTTGAACAGATAGCTAACTATCCTGGCAGCCTTCAGGAAAGATCTACTCTTCTCATAATGAACAATTCAAAAAGGAGACTTAAAATTTCAAATTCATAATAACACTTATTTGGAACAATGACATCAAACTGCAGGAAGTGTTCAAACTTTCTGCCCTGGCCATAAAACAGTCTGATGCGTTTATTGAGGCGCTTTAAAGATGCTTGCAGGTGAATTTTGGTTCCGGTAAAACTGAGGTAAACCAGCTACTCCTCCCTGCGATCCATTTAGCAAATGTAGCTAGATAAAATGTCAGTCTTGCTTCTTGGAAAGAAAGAAAACAAACGTGTTTTTTTCCCCCTAAAATGTCACCACTTCCTTTTCAAAGTCTCAGACTTCTTTTTTGCTTCCTGCATATGAAAATACCAGGACAGGAACTTCACAGATAAATTAACTTTTTCATTTTTCCAGAGTGAAACCTATTTTGGCCTTCATCTGTTTTATTTACTCAAAAACAAATGATGCAAATATGACTTAAACATGGATGTTATTACAGCAGGCTAAAGAGCAGGATTCGTTTATTTATCCCATCTCCATGTCTACACACACACACTAAAGTGGTTTATCTCAAAGAAAAACGTAACATATCCCCTCTGATTATCTCTTCAGTTGTTGAGAAGTGCTTACATCTCTGATTAACACTGAAAGTTTTTTTTTCTTTATCTGCACTTGTGTTTTTTTTTTCTTTCTCTTAGCTTTCTTCAAATAAGAGTGAGATATATGAGCTGTAAAGATTTATGTACACAACTTTTTTTAAAGCTGAGAAGCATCATCCTGCTCACCCCATCGGCTGATGTGTCACATGCGATCAGCTTGTGCTTCAGTCACAGTAAGAGACCCCCCCAAAGGACAAACACTGATGCCATCAGCACCAGGTCTGCCGGGTTTTCTGCTGCTTAGGCCGAATCTTACCGCACTAAAAGCATTTGGCCGCACTACTTGCGCGTTCTGTATATGAAGGACATATTTTTGCTAACCACTATAAGAGTCTGGTCAGGTAAAGATATATGAAATAGAGTCCATCCCATAAATAGATATACCAAGCTGGACAACACATGCTTAAGGATGACCCCGTATTGTTGCAGGAAGTAAAAGTGTGTCAGCTAAAAAGAGACAAAGATCTTTGGCTCGAGCCATGCTAAAAACAAAAACAAACGAAATAAACCTACCAAACACTGACGCCCACATGAAACCACCCTCTCCGTTTCCCTGAGCTGCTGCAGCCCACTGATTAACTGGACACGTGCCTCCTTCCTCCCACTCCCAACAGTGAAGCCTCAGCTGGGACCAGCCAAGGAGGAGGGCTGCCTGCCTACGCTGAAGCCCAAAGCACAGTACGATGCAACTGTAAATAAGGCAAATACTGGAACAGAACTCGATCAAGGAGAGGTGAGACGCCATCGCCTCCTGTGCGGCCTTTAAAACGGCAGGGTGGGGAACACAGTGATGCAGACGAGTGCTGCTCCTGCTGGCCACCAGGAGCATCGGTACGTCAGGCTGGACAAGCGTACTGTCAGCGGGAACACAGGGAGGACGAGAAGCGACGTGAATCTATAGTGCAATGGTTACGACATAAGACTATGTTTATATTCATGTTCTCTCTTCTTTAGAACTACCCCCCCTCCCCCAAACACCTTTACTGACAGTACTAAAGTGCTGATAGAGGCCCTCGAGGGGCCCGCTGACGTCAACAACACAAACGTTCTTACAGAGAAACTTTGACGGACTTTTACACAAGTGTTTGTAAACAGAACGTCTCAGGAACAAATGCATGTCTATGGTACATGTGCAACAGCAGTTCTCATATTCCTACAGTATGAACTTTATATATAGATTTTTTATTTTTTTTTTAGTTGCATTCAGTTTTAGAAAAATGTTTATGAAAAAAAAAGGTCTGGCTGCCAAGCAAGCATGTGCTTTTTTTTTTTTTTTTTTTTTAAAAAGATGTTTTTTCCTAAATTTTCTCTATGATTTTTAAAGTACTTTCAGCTGAATAAGATGTATAACTGATTTACTTATGAGCGCATATCCCTAACCTCTCTTACTGTTCAGTTTATATACCGTCCCGTCCTGCGGAGGTGACTCGATTTATTCCCCCTTTTTGTTATCTCTGTAACTCTAAATGAGGTGCCCTGCGTGGCCTTGGTGAGGCCAGACTCATGCGCCAGGGTCTCACTCAGTAAAAGCTCAAGCAAACAGAGGATCAGGCAAATGTGGGGCGCTGCAGCTGCAGGCCGGGTGCAGCCCTACCGGGCGGGGCCATTGCACCCGTTAGGAGCGATAGTCCTTTTTACTGTACGGCTTGTTCCCCAGGATGCTGTCCACCTCGTGGGTGATCGATGATGACAGCTTTGGTAGGACCTGTAAAGAGAAATGATGAACATGATGTTGGATTCAAAAACTACTATTACATTAACAGATCTAGATTTTATTTTAAAAACCAAGATTCGTCAATCAGATTTGTCGCAGTTTTCTGACTCGTTTTTGCTGGTTTAACCAATTCCTCTCTAATATGTTTTAAAGGTTGGAGGATTTCTAGACACCTCTAACTGGGACAAAGAGTACCCAGAACACAATGGAGGCCACATATAGCTTGACCCATGACCTCCAGGCTAAGCCCTCCTGAAAGTATCTGGCAACATTGCACTGTTACAAAATGAAACAGTCTTATCCGTGTTTTGGAATCCGATAGCAGACCACTACAGACCAGCAGAATGAGAAGTCATGCAGTTATTTGTAAAATGGAGGCCACATTCACCCCTCTAGATTAAATCGTAAAAAAGAACCAAAAATATGTTTAGTAAGTATCATATGGGTTTTGTTGCCTTACAAAAACATTTAGCTTAGTTCTTTAGGTGAGCTCAGACAGCCATAAAGCAGCGCCCCGGAGCACATGACTTATTCAATGACAGATCCGCCCCTTAAAGGGTGAACAGTACAGAGTTGCTTTACACTTCCATTAGCAATAAAAGGGTTAAGCATTATGATAGCTGCAGCCTTCCTGTTATCTGCTCTCTCACAGCCTGTAATGATGCTTTGGTCATGAATGAGTTTGGTGCAGCGTTCGTGTGTCGATTAAGGAGCAACTGTAATATTAGCCTATCTGATGATTGATGAAATTTTAACTGACTGATAAGAAAACTATTGAGAAAAAAGTAACTGTAGGACTATGTTGTAAAGGGCAGACTGGGGTAAAAGGCCTTAAGCAAACATATCAACAGAACGATTGACATTAGGAGGACCACTTATTTAGATTGTCCACCCAGGAAAAGAGCATCCTCCACTATACCTTTAAGCTACATGACTTTTAACTTGTCATCAAAAACCTTCGAATTTCTACAAGTAGAACTGTTTTCTTTGTTTAAAATCTCCATGAAGGAAATTTTCTAAGATGTTTAATTTATCCTCTCCTGACCTCAAGTCCTAGTAAAAACAAGTTATAAAATTTTTGTGTCACCTTGTTAAATAGCAGATTTCATTCTGTCTTAAAACACAAGACTTGGTAACAATACATTTAGACCCCAGAAAAGATTTGATTCGTAAGAAACAGGTGTCTGAGTGGCATTGCTGTATTGTGACGTCAACAGCAGGGGGCCAGCAGACATGTTGTGGAAAGTCTTGTTTTGTTCTTAACAGCTTTTTGCATGATGCGAGTACAATTCTATACAAGTTGTTCCTTTTAGAAATACCAAAGCTTCTAACTTTCTGTCTGCAGCAACAAACTAACAGCTGATAAGTGTTGCTTGCATTCCCTATGCCTCTTATTTATGCTGCAAACATCAGAAAGGTTCAAGGCTTTTTTTTTTTTCTTTGGTTAGTGTTAATGGCCAATCCAGCTGAAGATCTCCTGATTAACATCAGATCTCTTACCTTCCCTTTGGTCATCACTAGTTAGCCTTTGAGTACAAAACGCTTTAAGTAACTTAATTATTCCTAAACACAAGTTCAGATTAACATCACTCGGCTTTATCATTGTACCATTTTTCATGAATACACCGTTTGAATTTAAAACTATAAAGATGGAACATTGTTGTTTATCAACTATCCAGATTTTTTGGCATTCAGATTAAATATGCGTTAGAAGTTTTGCTGTTATTGCAGCTGTAACGACTGTCGGTAGAAATCCAACCTTTGATTAAGAATCACAGGAGTCATGTTTCTTGGCTCTCAATGATTCATTTAAGATAAATATTCTTCAAATCTCCAGAGGTTCGGCAGAACATATAACATTATGGATTATATTATAAAAAGGAATAATGTGATGAGGATATTGACTTTCACTCTTCTCAGGCTTCTTGATCTCTCCACATACCTATGAGCATAAAGATACTGTTCATAAAGCTCTACAGTATATCAGACGGAGCCATAAGAAAGTCAAACAATCTGGCCAGAATGTTATTGGAAAGTAACGGCTGTAATCAACCAGTCCTGTTTAAAAAATGCAAATTTAAACGAGTAAAGAGAATGTTTTTAATATTTTGGGTTTTACTACTACAATAAAAGACTTTTAGCCTTTTTTAATATCTTTCCTAGGGGTACCAATAAGTCTGAAGAAGCTGCAAACCCCTTGTTATTTCCACCCATGTTGTTGTGATGCTAAGAAGTCTGTCAAATTTAAAGATCTAAATGTATCAATTATTCAGTGGGTACATTTTTTTATTATGCATTCAAATTAATTCATCAAGATTTTTTAATCCATTCCACATGTACCCAATACTATTAACATTATAAATAAAAAATACAGATTTTAGGTGGAAAGTATGTTTCTCTGCACTTTTCAAAGTAAAACTCATTTCCATATGTGCCTGTGTTGTAATTCATGGTGTGTGATAAAAAGGTCTGGCAAAAGGAAAAATACAAATGCCTCAGGAAATGTAAGAGTAACATTTTAAAGCCCAAATATCAAATGCACAGAGGGCAGGTTTAGAGCGCGCACAAGCAGACATGGGAGGGAAGTCAAAGCATCAAAAATCGAGGAGACAGGGGATGGGCTTTACTGCAGGCCAAGCATAATACGAAGTAGGGACGTAAAAACCAACCAGTATGCTAACCCCATTAAAAAACAAGTCTTATCAGCCGAGCAGGAAGTGGTCGAGAGCGCATCTCCAATCCCCTCGGCTACTGATACGCGGTTGACCTTATTAACATGGTACAGTAAAACCTGCTCAAAGGCCGAACTCTACTCAGGAGTGGAAGAACTGAGAAATCAGAGCCTGATGAGATGGGTTTCGCTTTAAGAAAAAAAAAATGCTTAATGTGCTCTGCAGGAACAGAAAAGAAACGTTTTGCGGCCTCACCTGGATCGCTCCTATGTTCTCCATCAGCTGGTCCGTGTTTGATGCCCCTAAAAGGACAGAGCTCACCCCCTCGTTTCGTAGGCACCACGCTGCAGAAGACCAGTAAACATTGATGACATCACCAAACACACACATCGGGCCACATCCATGACACACACACAAAAGCATGCTGCTCAAAATAACACTTTTTCCATATTGAAACCAAGTAAACTATAACAGTATAACTGGATACACATATTAGCTACTGTACACTACACATTAGTGTTACACAACAAATAACCTTGGATGCATTTTGTTTGATTATGAATAAAAGAGCATCTCATACCTTGTTGCTTGGTATCCTGTACTCATTCAAAGTGATTAGGATAAAACAAGTAGAAAATTACACAGGAGTTGCTCTGCAACACTAACATCCTAGATCACTGAATAATTGAAATCAACTTTAATCACAGGGTTTTGAACTGGATTAAAAAAAGGGTTTATGGAATCCTGATATGCTGTGGAGGTAATTCCTGCTATGCTGTGGAGGTAATTCCTGCTATGCTGTGGAGGAAGAGCGCATGACCAATATCCGAGCTGTCACAGCTGTGAGTCCCGATCCTGCTGACCTTTGCCGAACGTCTCTCCCCTCTCTTGTAACCCACTTTGCTGTCTACGTACTTTCAAAAATAACAAAATAAAGTCCACCAGAGCCTAAAAATAATCTTAAAAAAAAAAAAAAAAGATTCAAGCTGCCATCCTCAAACAATGGTACCACCTTGGGTGTCACATCTGCACCAGGATATTAACCTAGAGAAACTCCCTACATATATTAGTTTTATGAGGTTTCCACAGCTTCACATTCAGTTTCAGTATTGATCCAGGGCACAACATGTTGTTCTCAGGATCCCTAAACTAAACCATGGAAAATATGGAGCCCACTGTGCTTTTAAGGGAACCCCTTCACATATTTTTAAAACTTTTCTTCATTTGCTGTTGCAGAGTAGTGTGAATTAAGCCATGTTTACTACATTAAAATTTGTGTTTTCCTGCTCAGGGTGCATCTTTGAATTAATATTTATGGTCGTTCTTAGCTTGATTTGTGGGCATTTAAAGTTGGATTCTGTAAACAAAAGGCTAATTATTGTGATGAATGCATTTCACAATAGATATATCAGGCATTTGAATAGATCCTCCTCTTTTGTGTCTACTTTGATCCAGGACAATTTGGATGTGGATTGCTGCTCTAAATTATCATCCTGAAGAAGCACAGATACACGATCTAGGACCAAATCTGCAAACCTCTCAGAGTACAGAAATTGGTGCAGTTTTTCTTTTTTAAATTCTCATCAGTGAACTGTGCTGAGGATAAGCAGGAAATCTGACATTCTGCGATCGCTCTGAAAAAAAAAAAAAAAAAAATACAACGGACACAAAAATAACATATCCCTGCTCGGTGTGCGATTATAATTGGAGGCTGTATTACGCAATACAACTGAATGCTTTTGCAATTCAGGAAGCTATAGTTGTAAGCAGATTAAAGAACAAAGGGAGTTAAAATGTTGCTATAAAAATAGTAGGATTATGACTCAATGCAATTCTACCAAACTGAGATTACTACCCAGTAAAGAGAACACTTGAAGCTTTTTCATCTGGATTTGACACAAACACATGATGCCTAATGGCCTGAAAAACTCCACCAACATCTATTAACTTCGCTCACTTGTCATATTCAATGGCTGATTCCTGGATTTAACACCTGCTTCAAATGCACAGCCCCAAGCTAAAGGCAGGGTATTTTCTTTCTGCCACAACATTTGAGTCTAAAGGACGACAGAGTTCATATAAATCTGCTGTGCAGCCTTTAGAAGCTCTGAGAGGAGTTATGGAAATTGGCTGTTCACTAATGGGCTGTGAAACTTAATTTATGTCTGTGTTTTACAGTTAGGGTGAAGAATCTGCAGCAATCCAATCTGAGATTGCAGGCAGTCTGTGATTTACGCAGCTCATTTCTAAAGTCTGATGGTTTAACAGGACTCTGCACCTTGGAGGTTTGTCACTTTGCTGCCAGTAGTAAATAGATTTCCGTCACTTGCTGGATTGGTAGATCCTATTTTGATGCAGAGACTCATAGCTGTTAAATGCATGAGGCAACCTCAGTTTACATTTTTGCATGCAACGTGTTAACATTCAGCATGTTTCTGTCCTAATTATGGGAATGAGTTGGATCCATGTTTGTATTTGATACCGTGTTTATGTCTCATTCATATAAGAAGGTGCTCTGTGAGTCAGACAGACACGTGACAACACAACATGTGAAACCAGACAGCTGCGAGAGCGCCACTGACCCCGGGCCCGTCCGAGGCAGAGGGACGGACAGACAGACAGAAAGAGAGAGAGCGGCAGAGTGTATCTGCGTACCGATGGCGAGTTGGGGCAGTGTGCAGCCCAGCCGCTCCGCGATTGCCTGCAGCTCTTTCAACTTCGCCTGCTGACGCCGGCCCTCCTCGCTCAAGATCTTGTCCTTCAACCACTGGTAGCCCTGTTGAAAACATAGCACACCTGCTCAAAAACACAGCCCCGCTCACACCGTTGTGTCACCAGGGCCTGTTTTTAAACATGTGACTCTGTCTTCGGCTGTCAAAACCTCAGCTGGGGTGAACACAGCTGTTCCTTCTCACACAGCACGTTTTTATCTTTATTTAAGAGATGGGAATCCTGATCGGGCTGGGTCGCTTTACTGAAAATATAAGATAGCTGTGCCCAGCTGAGGGAAAAACATCTCAGTCAAAGAATCTATTGGTTACGCAGCTAAAGTGCCAAAAGCACACAACATCTACAGGCAACACTGAGCCAAACACGAAGCAAGAACTGAACAACACCAACAGAAGGGATCTGTTTCATGAACCACTTAGTGATAAACAATCCACAGACATAAAACATGCCACTTCACCACAATGGGACACAACAGCGTGAAGGGTAAGGAGGGTTTTTATGTTTCATGAGTTTCTGGCTGTTCCCTGATATAAATCTCCTTTTTAAAAACTATTTCACATAAACCTTAATACCCTCACACTGATAAGAAAACCTGTTTATAAATCACCTTGAATTATTTTTGAGGGTCCGATTAGAACTATTTTTCATTGTGCACACATACATGCATGTGTATATTATATAGTCTGTGCATTAAAATGTGTTGGGCCAGAGCCCGATGGCAGATAAACAACATCGAAGAGGTGGACGATGTCAACACGGCACTGACAACACACACACAGCTGCACAATATGCAGAGGTACCGAACCTGAAAGAGACAGAAGCATAATAAAACAAACAAGCTGCAACCAGTGGGGGAGGGGGAACACAGAGGAGTGAGAGTGACAAAGATGAACGGAGCGGTTGCCGATCAGCGGCATGGTGCTGGGTCTACCTTCAGAGACGCCCGAGAGTAGGGAGGCACCCTGCCGTCGTATTTCCCTGAGATGATCCCGCAAGCCAGCGGAGACCATGTCATGGCCCCAACACCTACAAACAGAAGAGTTTGTCATCATCATCAGAAAGAGTTGCTGACTATAAGGTCCAACATTATGCAAAATTCATACTATAAACATTTTGTAACATTCATATGTCCTGAAGCCTGCGCATGAGATTCACAAATGAGAAAAAAAAAAACCCTTTGACCTCTACCATTTCTCCACCTTTTAATGTGTGCTCAAAATGCTCTGTTTAAAAACTATGCCCTTTATGATGTCATAAGGCGAAATGAGCTGTCCAGAGCTGTCTATAGCATTCCATAAGTCAAGCTCCGGCTATATCTTGGGTATTGTTTGGTGCTCCTAGGCAATCTTTAAGAACTCTGACTGTTTGTCATGGTTGCGGTTTGTGGACTGTTAGCACATTTTTGTAATACTCCCTTAAAAAAGAGAGACAACAAAAGACCTTAGGACTGACGAACGTACTGAAATGTAAATTCTGTGTTGCAATAAAAACATTTTGATTAATCAAAGAAGCCAAAGTTTATTTGCAGAACATAACTCCATTTAAATTAAATATAGGCTAGCTAATGGTGTTGATCATGTGGCTTATTTCCTTTCTGACATAAACATCTCAGGTTTTCAAATTACAAAGAATTGAACTGCAGTATGTTGAAGATAGGCTCTGTGTAGGCACCTTGATGCTCTATATCTCTCCAGTTCTTTTTCCTGAAAGGAGATCACTCAGGACAGACTCTTTAAGTAACACTTCATAACTTATATGTATTAAATCTGCCACATCATCTTATTTTACATCAGACTCGTTAGCAGATGAGTAGATATTATGACTCCAGCCTTATCAAAATATTACACTTCATTCTTAGCTGAAGGACACCACTCTCATTACATTTCCAAATCTTTGTCACGTACAGAATGAAGATTATAACTGTATATCCAAACAGAGGAACAGTCTTAATTAGATTAAAACATCAGTTCTGACACGCAACAGGAAGCCAATACCAAGGTGTAATAAACGCACACATCATCAATCATAATTATCCTAACAAGTATTAACTATTTAGGAATATAGCCACTGTTGAATCTTTTTAATTTAGGCAAAAATTTGCCTGTAAAAAACAGCCCTTTTGGCTCATCCCTAGCTGAGCTAAAGGTCAATGTAAATGTTAATTAAATGCTTAACATTTCCACTTTTTAAAGGCATCAACATTTAAAATAAAAAAAAAAAAAACATTTTTAATGAAGTAGAAGCGAGGGAGACATTTAAAATGTATTTTATGTGTGATTTAATGTTTTTCAAATCTATGTTGGAAAATTAAAATTGCTATAAAAACCATTCTATGATTCCAAAATAGAATGGTTATCAAACGTATTAATACTACATCGAGATACATAATCCGTATGCTATTGATCCCAAAGACAAGTGCTGCTTGCATATTTTTGCTATTGTTAATTTCAGGTCTGTTAACCATTTTACACATTTATTTAAGTAGAATCAGTGGTTCCGTTGAGAGAGCATGCTCCATGGTCCGTCGGAGGAATCAAGAGTTTCTTAATTTTTCTTTTTTTTTAGGCTTTAATTATTTGTCATTTTTAATCCCAGAGGTATTGAAAATGATATCAAGACATTGATTATTTTCCTGGATTAATGATATAGAGTTTGAAATTGTAACATTGTGACCACCCAACTAAAACGGTCAACATTATAATACATCAATTGACTTTAGTGTTATAATTAAAGCCGTTGAATCTAAGATTCTATTTAAAACTAACATTAATTCCAATGTTATGTTTATAATGCAAATTTTAAATAGGAGGTAAGGAATATTCCAGCTACAGCTCATGCATCCCAGTTACCATTTAAAGACATTTATTCTTCTTCTAGATCCATGCTCACCTATCTTATGGAAAAGCTCAGGAAGCTGCACCTCCACCTTCTCCCTCTGGAACATGTGATACTCTGCCTGCTCACATATAGGAGGAATCTGGTTGAACTGCCTTGCCACGGAGTACGCCTCCTAAAGAAGCACGTCAAATAAACCAAATTAGGCATCAGCAGAAAGAGGAGGAAAATCAATCCAATCTTTAATTTTCATTTCTAACATTCTCATTTTGGTGTTCTCACCATTATTTCCATCGGGCTCCAGCGGGATGTTCCCCAGTACATGGCCATACCCTGGTTTATTACATGCGTCATAGCTCGTACAGTTTCTGCAGAAACGCATAGGAAAAAACCCTGAGCTCTCCTGTTGTGTTTTCTGCAGCACACTGCTCCACCATAAATCTGCTCTAATTTTACAAAGAAAAATACATTTGTTATCCAAATATCACAGGCAATTATGTTAATAAGAACCCAGAGAATCCTGATGACCGTGACATCTGCTCTCAACAAGGCAAGACTTGAATGATACTCATGCTAATATTTACAAGGATCTGCTTTAAATTTGAAGCATGCAACATGAAACAGGAGCCAAGTGAGATGAATAAGAGATGACAGCCATATGTGCGGCAGTTCAGATTTTTAATCGCACACAAAGTGGGTTGACACACAGGATGGCAGCTTATGTATCTTAAGCAGAGGGGGTTAAAAATACGTCATGGATGATTACTTTCCTTCCCTCTAATAGACATGTTGAATATTAAAGAGATTCATCTCAAAGCATTGTAGCTTCACATTAGTATATCTTATTTAAAGAAGGGATTTCGATTTGGAGACAAATCTGGCACGTGCCAAATGAAGTCTCCCTTTCGCCTGGCTTTAATTTCCGTCTTTTCATTGGCTGGAGTGACAGTTTGTTTTGTGTGTGAGGCAGCGGAGCAAAACATGAAACGGGTTAGATAACGATCGGGCTTCCCAGACAAGAGCAGAAGCACAGGAGTGTAATAAAATAAGATTGCATCAACCCCTCAGTAATCCTGCAACCATCTATTAACTTTACGGATGCCCTGCTTCTGGAAAAAAATCGCTCCTTCTTATCATTCTGTGGATTCTTGGCTTAAGAGGTATTTTTTCTGAGGTGAAAGAGGAGCAGTTAAATATCTTTTTGACTCTGTTTACCCCCTCAGTTAGGAACAAAATGAATGGTTTAACCACTAAGTTTGGTTAAATGGTGGTAACAGATAAAAAATAGCATTTTTCAGAAATGTGAGATAATTTTTAATGAACGAGTCCAGTGAAGCGACAAACTAAAGGCAGAAACGTGACCTTAGGCTCAACTTTAACCCTGAGTGGAAGTTCTACCGCTGCAACAGATGGACACTGAGCGTCCAGCTGAGCCCACACACAGTTAGAAATGCTGCCATTTAAAGGTCTCCAGCATCAGCATCTATCATCATTCCCACTGTGGAGGTGGAAGCACCCGGACCACAGGAGGCGTATAAAAATAGACGTTTCAGTTACAGAAGGATAGTACATCCAAGTCTTCGCATTGCAGTAGTCATAGAGACGAATAGGAGGTTTTTTTCATAGAAACATTTCTAAACAAAAGGAAAACAAAAACAAGGTGGAAATATCCAGTGGGACAAACAGAATTACCTTCCATTGGTGTGTTCGGGTCGGGTCTATTGGCGAAGACTACATCCACGTAGTCTAACTGCAGTCTTTCTAAAGAAGCTTTTAAACCTGAAAAGAAACTCCACAGTAAGTGAACATGTTTCCACACCTATAACATCCAACCTCATTAGCAAAAATACTGAGGATATTAACCTGCAGTTAATAAGTGGGAAGTTTTCACTTAATCCAGTAACATCCTGCAACAATACTTACCTTCTATAATGTGTTTTCGAGATAAACCTCTTTCAGTCTCTGCTCTGTAAAACAGGAAGCAGACTATGAGTTATTAAAAGTAATTAAGCTGCTTTCTTCCAACTAGCCATTTTCAGATTGAACCAGGTCTAAGTTATGGCTTTAAGCCCCACCCCTCCCTCGATAGACCTGTCAGGATAACAAATGCTGTCCCAGAATATTTGCTATACACAATAATATTGTCATTCTGTTTCAATCCAAAGTGTTGCCACACTGCAGCTGTTGTGTTAACCAGCATTTCTGAGGCTCGCTACTCCTCAATCTTGAAGGTCTCTTGCTACACTTAATACACTAAGGAAACGATAAGGGAAGGGGTGAGTGGAGACTGATGTACCAGAGCAAAACCTATTTTTTTTCTACCTTTTGGTAGAAAGAGAGGTAGACACAAGGAAAACTAAAAATATTAAATAAAAGTATTCAGCAAAATTTAAGTGGATCATTTATTTCATTTGTTTTTTAATACAATGACATTTAAATATTTTTCTTAGTATGCCTAGTGCAGAGAGAACATCATCTGATCATCCGTGAAACATGAGATGTTTTCAGCTTCACTTAGAAGAACCTGACAACAGTTGACATATGATCCCATTACCGGCGGGGGCATCGGCATCAGATGGGGCAGGAGAAATTACACAAGGGGATAGTTTTTCATTTGGCATCAGGATAAAAACTTACTTGCCGCCCCAGAAAATCTTTGTGGTTATCACCAGACTGGAGCGTCTAAAACAGAAGATGACAGCACATCTGTTAAAACAGCTGCCACATGAACCCGCTGAGTCACTGAAAACCTCAAACTAATGCAGAGGAGACAAGTGATTTCTGCATCTTGCACAAGAGTCTGGTCTTGTTTTCCAGCACATACTATAACGGGTAACTTACACACATCTGTAGGGGAATAATGAATTAAAACTTTACTATTTAATGTGCGATACTGACGTGTTCTGGTGCAAGTTTAGACTTTGATCTGAAATCAACTACAAAAGCTAATCACAGATAAACAAGAAGTTCATCCATTATTCAGCCTCGTTGAGAAGGAACACTGGAGTAAAGGCCTCCTTTAGTTTAGTGTTTGGTGGACTGGGACCTTACTGTTCTGCTTCACAACACATATTACAAAGCCTACTATCAGGTTAGAGATGAGGGTTGATAAAAGATACATCAGGCGAGCTCTGTTGCTGCAACGGAAATTTAAAAGCATCAGGCTGGATTACAGAGAGCCCATACCTCCATCCTTTCTTCTTTATGATGTTCCCGAGCACCACCTCTGCCCTGCAAAGCAAACAAAACGAAGCAGAGATTAAATTAAGATAGCGCTGAGAAGATGTGAGGGTTAAGGTTGGATTTCTGGATTAAATTGAAGCACTGAGTGCACACCCCACACTCTAAGGAGCACCTGTTAAGGATCTGATGGTGTGAATCAGCGGGCCGGTCAGAGTCAGCGGGTCCTGAGACACCGCTATGTGTCTCATTAAAAGCTGAAGGGGTGCTAATGAGCGACATTACTATCAACATGGGGCTCATTAGGACTGGCCAGAAAGCTGTTTGTGTCTCTGTGGTTCTCTTGCTCTGACAAACAATGAGATGACACCAGGTTGCTCAATGAAAGTCTTTCAGACACTGAGGCCATGAACAGAGAGGAAGGAGTTTTGTCTTTTTGTTTTTATTTTAGTGTCAGGAACCAGTATCTGTAGAGCTAAACACCAGGCTGCAAGCTGGAATCAAAGACTTTGAGCGAAAGGATACTCTGAGAATCAGACGAGGACAGTTCAAGACAAAACTTTAGACGTCTTTCAATCATAAAAGTAAAATAGGGATATATTTGCATCACTTCTTTGGTAGGATAATGGAGTGATGGTGGAAGGACTGACAGTGGTCAGATCAGAGGGCCCGGTGTCGCCTGTGTACGGCAACGTGAAGGTTTCCGTGAATGGGTGAAAAACTGAACGTAATGTAAAGAGCTTTGGAGTCCCCTAACTAAAAAAAGGCACTCTGTAAATACAGACCCTTGACTGTTTTTTATAAATGATGACCCAAATGTTTAAAAATCCTTTTGTAAAAAAAACAGCAAAAAACAAAACAAACAAGAGAAAAAGATGGGAAATCCTAAATATGTTGTTGCTCACTTTTAGTTCAAATGTAAATCCTCTTGTTGGGCAGACACAAAAATATATGTTTGAATTAATCTATGTAGCATTTGGGATTTCATTTCAGAAACATCCTAGCTGGAGCTAAATAATTTATTAGAATGAGAACAATGATGAGGAATGCAGGGAGCAATGAGGAGCAATATCTTAGGACAATCCTTAAGATACGACTAATTACTACAGTAGATAATTGACCTTCTACTTATTAATCTATGAATATTTTGTAAGTAGAGAAAAAGTTACATTAGATCCCCAAGAAATCAGTTGGCTAGAAATCAGAGGGTTTATAGTAGATCTTAGAATCGGTGAAAGCAATATTTCAAAGCACCACTAGGTGACCCTGCCAGCAACACCCCTGGATATAAAAGTTGTTAATAAAGAAATAAGACTAAGAGTCAGCTTTTTATTGTGAACCAATTGTTTATAAACAAAAAGCAGTTTGTTTTGGACAACAGATCATAACATGCATAAAATAGGAGAAAACCGAACTGGACCTATGATTAGATGGTGGAATATCTAGAAGTGTTTCAGGCTACATTTGATCCAGGGATCATGGCGAGCTCTAAGAGGCAGACTTGGAAGCTCATTGCGAGCAGATCAATGCATCGATTGCTCTGTTTTCACACACTAGCCTGGAAGGTGAGAAGCACTGCTGTGTTCTGCAATCCAAACTCGGAGGAGATTATGGCACACATAAGAGCCTGAAGATACTCTAGGGCTGCAACCAATTTTTATTTTGCTAATCCATATCTGTTGATAATTTTTTTTAGATTAATCAATTAATAATCTGATAACAAAAGGTTCTTCAAAGACAATTTTTTAATAATAGAATTAAACCATGGGAAAATAAAACTCTTCCACTGGAGGAGTTCTGGGTAGAGCATATTGACAGACGGAAATGTTTTTCATTTTTTGCTAAATACAATCTTTGTTTTTGTTGTTTTAAAATTTTAATATAATTACTACTATAAGTGGGTTGCTTTATCAGCTAATGGCATGTTTTAGAGTCTCTACACTCCAGTTGACAATCGATGAATCAAGATTAATCCAATTAAGCGATTCAGCCCCAGATACTACAATACAAATCTCATTAATATCTTTCATCTTTGTATGGTTCATATTATTGTCCTTTAGGTTTTCCAGAGCATGTATATTTATATTTTCTCCCATTTTTACTATTTATTTTGAGAGCATTTTTCATTCTGCTAATACTGTAATACTGAGATGAATCTTTTTCTATAGTATTTGAAAATGATTTTATTTATTTGTGCTGATTCATTATTTTTGCTCTATAAAATGAACTCTGTAACTAAAGGTGTACATATAACTCTGTAACTAAAGGTGTACATATAACCCTAGCCCTGAAACTTATATTTACTCCTATTATAGATGACAAAGTTTGTCTCACATCTGTATTTAAAATTAATCATCTAGTTGATTGTTAATTGCTTGGATTAACCAAGAGTCTCTCTTTTTCCATAATTTTCTCTGCTTAGAACTCACTAAAAGACCTCTTTTCAACATCAACATAAGCATAAGGCTTAAGATGCTTTGTGAATAACTTCTTTACCCTAATGCAATTAAATTAACCCCACATTTCTTACAAATCTGCAAATCAGTTAACCAGATAAACCAGACTAAATGTGAGATTGAATGTGTAATTTAGTCTGGCCCCGATGAATGAGACATTTGAAGATTGTTGATGAGAACAACCCGTTGCTTTTCAAACCATGTCTGTGCCTATTGGTCAACGCTCTGACCAATGAGCGCCACTTACTGTAACGTATTAAGCCCGACAGAAAGCTGGTGGGCGAGTGTAAACAAACAGCCTGTCGGTAAAACGGCGAATACGTCCTTCTTAAAAATTAGTGAGCGTAGAGCCTCTTCCTGCTTACATTTCACCGAAAACCCCAATCCTAATCCTTCCAAAACTGATTCCAAAGCTGAGTCAAACGAGAACTGTTCAATAGTTGTTGCCATCTTCCTTATTGTGCCAGCGTCAAGCAGCTTTGTCGTCCAGCCCTCGTTTTGTGTCCAAAAATTCAAAACTCTGCGTTGTGATTGGCCCACCAGTTCTAGAGCCTCGGGCATTGATCGAGGCTAGGTCAACTCGCAGGCAAAAATGATTTTGGCCGCTGTGGCTAGTTTACTAGACTACAAATGTATATGACTGTGTGATGCTCTTGTTGCTGAGGGAATAAAAAAATTGTGAAGCAATCGTGCAAGAATCAGCCTAGTATGATGTCCTATGATTGACTGGACAACATTTATGAAATAAAAAGTTAATTTAAAGAGCTCTGATAGCTAATGAATCAAAACTACAAAATGATGCAAAATGTTCTCAAAAAAAAAAAAGGGAAAGATTAGTAATCAGAGCTCAGTTTTATCCAATTCAAAGAAACATCAATCAACAGATTCAAATTGGTTAACAAATTAAAAGGCTTTATGTCCCCAGGTATTAAGCACCCCTGATGCTGTTTGGTGTTTAGACAAATATTTGGCCCAGGTTTTAGTGTTTGTTGTTTTCCGTGAGTCTAGTACATCTGGAAGCTGTTTTTTGTTTTGGTAGAATTTTTTTTTCTAATATAAGGCTAAGCGGCAGAGATGTTATTAAATTAGATTAAAAAGAACCAATAGCTATCAGATATACAGCTTTCATTTAAAAAAAAAGCTCTATAAAAAAAGTCTCCCATTCCTACTCTCTGCTTTAAATATTTTATTTCCCAGTTTGGTATAGAAATCTTCCTTCTATACTATCCTGTGCTAACTTTCAGAATCATTACCTTTATTCTCCGCTGAGAGCAGTTAGCAGAGTAGTTTGATAGATGTGAAGTGTAAATCGTCACCATCCATATGCTTCCTTATGTACGAGACTGCTGATTTTACTGATATCACATGAAGGGTTTTATCCATGTGGATGTGTTTGTTCTCTAGATTTCCCAGAAGGTTGTCAATAAATAAATTATTTTTAACATAATTATGGCAAAGTAAAAAATGAGAGCATCCTGAATGGAAGTCAGTGAACCTTGTAATGAACTGAAAATAATTATTTTCTTGTTCACCTGAGTGCTTTCCTTCTACTGTTCCCCTCTTTGAGTTGTTTTCATTATTCACACAATTCCGTGTTTTTCAGTAACTTATTTAAGATCAGGGCAGTAAAATATTTAGATGTCCCCCCAAAACACTGTTTTTTTCTTGTCTAGTGGTTTGCTGGATTCTTTCAGTCAATTAAAACATGACTTTAGCCTCTGCTTTAACCTCTACTTTAGCTGCACTGCTGCCTCACATCCAGCCAGCTGAACTGACATTTTTTTTTAGCAACAATGCAGGAATATTCTTAGTGTGAGTTTACAGTAGGTTTGTGTGTGTGTGTCTCACCCACATAGCTGTAGGGCTGCCCTTGTGTAAAGTGAGTAATTTGACTGTCCAAATGTACGGTACAGTCTGCCTGGAGCGTGCTGGCTTTCCTTTTAGCCATAAATTAGGTCTATATGGTGCTGAATCGAAGCTTTGACTGACAGAAGGATCTGTGATATAATGCTGCATGTTTCGTGGATGAAAAAGATTGTATTACTTTCAGGTTTCACCGTAATTGGGCAGCCGATTTGTCGCCATTTTTTTGCACATCAGCCATTTTCTGTGCATTCAGCATGAAAGAAACCAGAATGCTGCTCTGAACATTTCTTTCAGAATTTTTAATACTGAGACCATGTGTGCGGTTGCTGATAACAGAGGCAATAATGAGGAATAAACAGCAAATGTTTAGTTGAGCATGTTTATCTCCGTCTTCTGCAAAACGGTGGTCTATATATTGATGCAGAGAAATTAGTCAAGAAATATTTACATATTAATACTGCCTTAACCCAGTTTCTCCGTCTATAACTACAGTATTTCTGATTATTATCTAAGAGAATAACCAGAAATACTGTGAGCATTTGTTTTCAAATAAAACTGAGATATATTTGGATCTGCATTTAGCTCCCCTCAGGAGGGTAAAAACTGGTGTTGGCAGCATTATGTGGGGAAGATACAGCTGTTCTCCAGAGACAGTCTAATTGGTTAGATGAGATCAGAGCATGAACTGAATCTACAGTAGTTTATAATCTGTGTCATTGTTTGAAAGTGACTGAAAGCAATCTGATTAAAATTAGTTATTTTGTAAAGTATAATGGGCGAAATTAAAATCTATATGCAAAGTTTGAAGAGGCGTACCCCAAAACAACTTTGTTTTAACTGAAGACAAAAGTTATTCTACTAATTATGCAGTAAACAGCACTGAATACTCGTGGATGATAATAATAATAATTGAGCTTTATTGATCTCACATTGGAGAAATGTACCTCTGCATTTAATGCATTCCCTTGGGGAGCAGTGGGCTGCCATCGTGGGGCTCCCGGGATGCAGTGTGGGGTTAAGGGTCTTTCTCAGAGAGCCAGAGTGGCAGTCTGTGGGAGTGGGGTTCGAACTCAGAACATCAGGATTCCAGACTCTATGCCCTAACCACTAGGGTGCTACTCCCCCCAGAATGGTTGTTTCTGTTGGTCTATTCAGAATAAATTGAGATTGACAAATTGACCCTGCCAATATTTAAAAAATGCATTAGCACTTTATTTATTTGATGTTTTGTTTTATTCTGAACCATCAATACACAGATTAAATATCAGGTTAGTCTTTGTGCACCACAGCACTGAATCCACAATAAAGCAACTGACTCAACAGCTGAACCAATCCTATGGCTGCATGAAGTACTTCACATTAGAGCTTTTTTCCACACTCGTGCAAAGTGCGCTCAGCTCCTTTGCATCATGTAAGCATCTTGGTGTTGTCAGGATTAACACCTGTGCAACAAATATTAAGCTGCTGTCTTGCTCAAACTCTCACATGTCAGATTTGTGTCTCTTTTTAACTGCAGGTTTTTTCATGGATCACAGAGAGGAAGGGATATGATAGAAAGTAAGATCAACTTAGCACTTGTTTCATAGATTACATCATGATACAACACTGACAGGTGACATGTGGCAGGCAACAGCTACAAAGGACTTATAAAAAAGATCTCTGTCTTGTTTTTCTTATTTCTTATTTAAATATTCTACTGTTGCGTCTTTGAAAACAAAAGTCATAGAGTCAAATATTCTCAGCAGATTAAAACAGAAATTTTGTAGTTAATCAGATATACGGTTCCGCAAAGGATAATCCCATAGATTATTTCAAAGCCTCCAAGTCATTGTAAAAAGCAGATTAGTCCACAATGGGGAAAAAAAAAACGCAATTATCAGACCTGATAAGCAGGAGGTTCCTTTCTGGGGTTAAAACATGAAACAGTATTAAAAGCCCTGAACATTTCACAGAGCATTGATCAATCTATCATCTGAATATGCAAACTGCATGGCAACCTAGCAAACCCAATCAACAACTGGCCATTTAAATAATGGTTTTACAGATTTAATTGTAGCAATATGTGGATGAACCATATGCTAATTCAGGGAGACTAGTTACCTATATATAAAAAAAAAAACTTGTTTAACATCCTCCCACTTCACAGTTCTGCATTCCTTTGAGTTGATTTAATACATTAAGCACAATTCATCCTAAAATCGCAGATCTCTCCACAATCAAATGATGTATGTCCAGTTCTAGAAATATCCCAGAATGAATAGGAAACTTAAAATAAATGGTTTAGTTATGCTTTTAATCCAAAGTTGGGTCTATGTTTAATGAAGACAATGATGGTCATATTCCAAGATGAGTTCAAATAATGACAGACTAAATTTTAATATATAGATCCTATGGTAATAGGCTATTATTTTTTTTCTAAAAATAGAGGTTTATTGTGCAGCTTTCAGCATTTTTACCATTCTATCACTCTACAGTTACGATTTTGATGCTTGATTGAGTCGAAATAAAACATTTTTTTAAAGCGAAAGGAACAAAAGGTTTTCTGGAATAAAGAATCTGACTAGTTCTTCAGAAGTAATTTCCAGGTGGAGGCTAGGTATCTGTCAAAGATTAAATGATTTAAGAAAAGCTCATATGGAACAATTAAATTTGGTAAAATGACACCTTACTTTTTTCTGTTCCTGTTCTTTTCCAAAAAAGGAGCATATTTATTTAAACAAAAAGCCAGGAAGTAACTGATTACTTAAAGAAGCAAGCAGAGAGGGTCTGGAGTGCCAGCTTTGACCGGTAATCAGTGCATCTTTTCTGCAGGCTGACCAGATATTTATGCACAACAGAGAACGGTACAGACTGTTCATGCAACACCAATATGGATTTTTATTAATGCTCAACAGATTAGGTGCATCATTTCTCTGCACTGGGTGGATTCCCAACCTATCATTAACCAGCAGCTTGTTAAGGTTCGTCGTCACAGCGATACAGGATACACTCACTTTCCAGCAGCGTAGACCTCCGCTGTGTCAAACAGATTGATGCCGTTTTCATAGGCCAGAGTCATCAGCTGCTCTGCCATCTGTTGAGAAAACAAGGGGTAAGAAACAGACGGGGGTGGGGGGGGCTGATGCAAAGCATTATAGCTTCTTAATTATTCATCTGCTTTCACAAAAATAAAGATAGCAACAGTATCTTTTAATAACATGCATTATTATGTTGCTGACACTTTGTAGTGATAGATCTACTGAAAAAGTAACTAAACTTGATTTGTTGAACATTCTGGGAAAGAACTTCTCTGTGAATGTTTTTAATATCAAGATTTGACTAATAGAGGATCCATCTGCTCTCACCTCATCCGTTATCTGCCCACCGAATGTCACCCATGTTCCTGCAGAGGATAACAGGGAGGCAAACACACACAAAGAAATGGGTGAGGAGAAAAGCCATATGTTCTAAAACAGCACATCACCTGCAAGAAACAGGTTCTAGCCCAAATAGGTAACACTGTGAGTACATTTTTGTTTTAAAAGCAGCAGTCAGACAAGCAGGTGTTGCTTTTCAATACATTACAATATCTGAAAATATTAAATAAAAGAGTCATCACCTGGAAATGTGTCTATTTCATGTTAAATGGTGTGTCAGCTTTGGGCACAATTTAAAACTCTCCAGGAAATTATTAGAAAAGTGAAAGATTTGCTTGGTTTAATTCATTTGGGTTATTTCGGCAAATTAGAAATGCCCACAAGAGCGCGTTCTCTACAATGCGCAGTTCTGACCCTGCACCTGTTTTGACATCAGTAATGGAAGCTTGCTAATATTAGCATTCCCAAAAGGGGGAATTCAATTCAGGAACTCACCAGCAGGCAGTTGGTTAAATGTGATTGTGTAATTTTTTTACGTATTGTAAAAGAGAGGAAATTATGGTAAATGAACCATGGCAGACTGCTAATGTCGCTAATGCTATAACCACATAAACGCACATAATCACAACCAAAAATCTTCATGTACAGTACTCTCAAAAGAGATAAAAAAAAGGGATGTAAAACGGGACATAATGAGCTCTGTTCAATTGTTTTTCTCCTACCGTTGATTAAACATTAATTTAAAGCTAATATCAGATGGATTGTTTAAGTAACATTCCAGGTTGGACTGCTTAAAGTAAATTCAGTGACTGAATAAAAAAGAAGTAGCATTAAAAAAAAGATGTATTACACTTAAAGAGATAAATTAATGTCATAAATTAATTTTACACTTTTAATTTCGAAATGTTACAGTACAGTGATTTTAGGGTTGCCAACTCCTTGAAAATAAGGCATACTTCTTAACCAGGCATCATCTTCTATCGCCATGATAATTATTTATTTTATTTTATTTTTTTTTGCATTTTCTTACTTACACTGTTAAATGCTCCTGAATAATTAATAATTAATTTTCCCTAGAAACCTTACTCTAGATTTACTTAAGCTAAAACAAACATTCTAAGAATTCATTTAAAAGGTATATGCTAATATATACTCTCAGGAAAGGGCTTAAACCTGGAAAGACTCAAAGCAAAAGAAAATTTTTTCACTTTCTGGAGTAGCAGTGACGCCTTTCTCTTTGTCAAAAGATAGACAGGGTTATTTACCATGTCCACAAATTCGGATTTTTTTCAGTGATCTCACCTAATCCAAGGCAGGAGACGCGCAGGCCAGACTTTCCAAGGTTTCTGTCAAAACAGAGAAATAAATTTACATTAATGCTGAGCTGAGGTGGCAGTGATTTGCAAAGGTCTGTCTTCCAAATGCAGCTAAGGAGTGCTGCAAATCAGTTTTTATCACAATGGCTGGTTAGTATATAGGTAAGAGAGTATGGTGAGTTAATAAATATTCCTATGAGTTTCTGCAGGGTTTTGGTTGTAATGCAGTTGGGGCTTTCAGTAGCAGAAAATGAGAAGAACAAGGTTTGTATGGATTTGGAAGGATCGTTTATCTTCTGTCGTACTGACAAATGGGTGAGGAAAAGACTACGATGTGCGAGTCGTCTTATGTGTATGCATGTGCTGTAAAATGTCAAGGAAAATCAGAGGCGGGAAACGGTTCTTAAGCAGGCCCTCCATGACATCCAGAGAAATCTCTCTCAGCACCCCAGGATACCTCAGCCTCCCTGTGACAAAAAATCCCTGCAGCGGTGTGCAACTTTGACTGCCTTCACCAGCTTGCCTCTGAAAGCCGCCATCTTTCAGCCAATCACGGCCCAGGCCAACCCAGCTGCTGACATTCACAGCTTGGATGTTTGCAAGCCTTTAAAGATTCCCACCATGTCTTCTGCTCCCTGTTAGTATGCAGAATATTAGCTAAACTATTACAAAGGAAAAGCAAAAATCCCTCTAAATAGGTTCAGCAAGATTTCCAAATGTAGATCAACATTTGATTTAAAAAGAAAAGTTCAGAGGAGTGTAAAAGTTTGCTTTTGCCAGTCAACTGTGAGTTAATAAATAAAGAAATGTGCCAGGGGGTATGATGTAACATGTGCAGGAGTGAAAGTTGACATGTGGGAGGATAACTAAAATAATCTGTAGAAGACCGGCTGTATGAAATAGAGAAGAGACAGAAGTGTGAGCATACTGTATAGATCCATGCAGATGTTTGCTGCTACTATGTGCATTTGAGAAAACTGAATAATGAACGGAACTGTGGTTTAAAAACAGCAGATTTTACATTATATACATTTTAAAACTTCGGCAGCATCACAAGGCTTGAATTCATGTTGTAATTAAACCATAGAACAATTCTTAAAAATATATATATAATTAAATTTTTCTGTTTCTTCCCAAAACAGCCATTGAAGTGCAGTTTAAACAGAGACAGCACTGTGAAAAAATTAAAGTAAACCAACCAGATTCCACAGAGGGACTAAGTTTTATTAGACCTACATGGTCATGTTTTATATGCAGAAAATTTCCCATTTTATGGACATCTTTTCATTTGGACTTTGTTCTGTAGGACATTAAAGTAGAAATGTCTCAGATACTGATTCGTATTGGTTTAGCAGCCCATTGCAAGAGTCTGGGAGAAGGTGGGGTCAGGTTGCAGGTCCCACTCAGCAAAATGAACCCTGACAGTAAAGACATCATCACTCGGAAATCTCTCAATAAGGAGGAAGACTGATGCAGCATGAGACAGTGACATTGGCGTCAATCAAAATGACAAGGATCCCTCATATTTATATTACAAAGACATACAATCACTCTAAAGAGATTATTAAACTTTGTAGATTCATCTTGAAGGTTATTTAGGAGCAATTGGGTAGAATACTATAATAATGTCCATCAAACCTAAGACTGACCGAACACAGTAAAGGCCAGAGCTGTTTGAGAAACACAGATAATTATGTTTAGCAGTGGAAAATTTCAAAGACTTCCATACCATCTTTACTTAGTTTAAGGTTTCTGTGAGTTAATAAAAAGAAGTCAAATATCAATTAATTTATGGGGTGGCTTGTATATTTGCTTACCTTTAAAACCTAAAACCAATAATAGCACCAGTGACAAACACTGTATGAAAGGGGGGACATACAGGTACTCAAAATATTGGAGATGTATTAGGAGAGGATTTGCAGTCATCAGGATTTCAAATGAGAAAACAAGCTGGAAGATGCAGGAAAATATATAACCTGAAAGGGTAAACCTACTGAATTACTTTTTTTCTACGTCATCTTAGTTGGAAAAAAGAGTTGATTTAAAAAGAAAAAAAACAGTATAAGGTTTGTGACTTAAAAAAAAACTGCCCTCTACCAAAGAGAATCCCGATTAGATGTTTGCTATGACTAAATTCATATATTAAAATCTCATTGTCATTTACTCCACTTTTTTAGTAAAAAGCATACAGCCAAGCCTGTTCTAATTATAGAAGCCATCTAACTGCTACAAAACCAGCATATGTGAACTTTTTCTTGTACCAATCTACAGCTTTCCACCTTGAGGTTTTAATCATATCTTACTGATGGACGACCTTCTTTTGTAGCTGCGGACAAAAAGACTTTGTTCATCACCAGATCAAAGCCCAAGATGGATTTGCGAGACTCTGATTGGACTTGAAAATGAATAAGGAGATTTTACCCGAGTTCAATTGAGAAGAATAATTTGTCATTTTTGGAAATATGCAAATCTTCTTGTGAATGGGGACTTAGACTGGTACCTTTCTGTATCGGCTCGCTGTAGAGGAAGTTATAGAAAAGCAAACAAAAAGATTAGCCGAGCATTAAGCCCAGAAGGGAGGCAAAGAAGAGCACCTGGTTTTTGTCAAAATTTTTTTGTTTATTTGGAACCCATTACATAACTATTAAACATTTAATTTCATGCTTCAGAAGTAAAGAAAATAAAAGCCTTTCTCTTGCGTGTGACACTTGCCAGGTTTCATTTTTTTTTTTTTTTACGGGTGGTGGAAGTATTTACTGGATGAGTAGTTGGTGTGTGATAAGCAGCAGGCAGTGGTCAGAGATCTCTCAGTTTGCAGATGAAACAAATTCAAGTGGGGAAATAAAAAGCCTCCCTTCCCAGCACCAAAGATGGGAGCAGCTCAGGGCTGGAAGATAATTCACCATCAATCTATAAGTCAGTTTAATTTATGTGACATTTAAACACATTTTCTTTATTTCCATTTACAGTAGTGTATGATTACAGCATTTGTTGCTGACTGACATTCAGAGCAGTCAATTCAAGCCTCAACACACTGTGAGCGATGATGTACACCACAGTATGCTCAGTGCTAGGAGGCTAATCTCAGCTAAGCCCCTACCTAGCAAATTTAAGCTAGAAAAGGAGTGCCTGTGATAAAGTGACCAATTGCCTGTTTTGTATCTGTCCCCCAAAAAAGCTTTCTTTAGAAATGTCCGAGATTGCATAGACCGTTTTACACCATGTAGAAAGCATCTTGGTCAAAACAACTGGTCACTCTGCTGTTAATGTTACAGTCAGAGCAGAAGAAGAAGAGCTTAAAATAAAGTAGACATAAAAGAGCAGAGCAACAGCTTGTCACCAGCAAGCCGTCCAGTGATATGGTAAGAGTGATTTGTATAATTTTATTTTGACTGGGCTAATCCTTGCTGTGATAAATGTTTGGTTCATTCTGGGGAACATAACTACTGTTGTCAGGTTGCACTAGGTTAGAAGAAAATACACCAAAAACAGGGCTGGGGTCTTTTTACTTTGCTCAAGAAAAGAAATGTAAAATAAGGCAAGTATTAATGAGAGAAGGATAACCAAAGGCAAGGCTACTGTAGATCACAGGGTATTTGCAGCACAAGTAAAAGAACAGGGGAGAAAATAAATGACTGAAAAAAAAAAACAAAATAAAATAAAAAAAAACTGCCCCACAATTTCATCAAGGGTTCATCCATACTAAGATATGTTAGTATGGCCTGAAAACAAAGGTATAGTGGAGCAGTTTCCACAAACTTTTGAAAAGACCATTTAAAAAGAAAAAAAATGCAGATGCACACTCCTGAGAGGTAACGTCTATTAAACGGGTGTGAGAGCGTAAACGAGCCCATTTCTCCTCGTGCACGCTCTGTTTAAAAGTTGCTGTTTGCATCGCTCATACAAGCTCACTTTCCAAAAGATGATGTGCATTTTTTCCACTATGTCAGACTCACCACCAGTAAGTGAAAATGGGGACGAGAATGTAGGACGGACTTACGTAAACATATCACCAGAATGATTGACAATTAGTAGACCATTTAGTTTGATGATCCACCCAGAAAAAGAACTCCACCACTATACCTTTAAGTTAGTATTTTGGAGCAGGTTTTGAATAGTTTTGCCATTTTTTTTTTTTTATAGCAAGTTGTAACGATAGAAACTATGAACGATGCAAGAACTCATAACCTGAGAAATATTAAGAGGGAAAGATAATTACCAGGTTAAAAGTATCCTTCTGCTCTTCAGATAGTAGCTCCAAATAAAATAGTCAAATTTAATTCTTTTTTTTAAAGTTACTAATCCTGAAATGTTTAATTTGAGGAGTCAGGTGTCAGGTGTTTGTACAGGGATCTGTTTTCGGCCTTCTTGGTTGTTTTATTTGAGGCCTGATATTGTTTATGTTAATATTGGAATTATATTGATTCCAGTTAAAAACTATACTTTTAGATTTTGGCCATATTACCATATATGGCCATATATTGCACAAACCATGTTCCACAATTCCAACAAGGTTAGGTTAAGTCAATGTTTTTAACCTATTGTCACAGAGTGTAGCTTAATTATTCAGAAAGTGGTTCACTGAAGAATGTCTTGCTGATTCAGTGCTGTACGCAGGATCATTTAATCCGTTGTGATTTTTAATACATTTAAAATCATCTAACTATTAAAACACAGTACAATGGACTTTGTTTCAGAGTTTGAAGACGTTTCGCTTCCATCCAGAAAGCTTTTTCAATTCAAAATGTCAGAATTAGTGTCGAGTCCGAGGCTTTATGGAGTGGACCAAAATAACGCCTTGTTTTGCTTAGAAAACATGCAAATTGAACCGGAAGAAAAGGTTCCGCCTCTTAGGAATAGGGAGTTGTTTGGGTTCTTTGCCAGCCATAGACCAGTATCAGGTTGTGCAGGCCAACAAAGAACCCAAACCACTCTCCATTGTTTTTTTTGGAATGACTATGACCTGGATGACTGAGAATCTTCACCAGAACATCTAAAAATACTATAAAGCTTTTTAGATCCATTTGTTC